TGTATAGGACTTGAGGAACAACTGTTGGATTTGAACTGTGAACCTTGAGGATAGCAGTCCATGGCTTATCCTACATTAATACTGTTGTTCTTAAGTGCCAATGAGTCAATTCTCACTCATAGTGACCCTGTCTAGAGTTTCCAAAGAGCATCTGATGAGCTTGAACCACCGACCTTGTGGTTCAAACCAACTTTGCTGTCCAGTACCTTAACCCACAGGGTCATACCAGGATATTAATTTATAAAAAAAATGATTCCAACAACAACCATTGTTATTATAACTTATGATATTAAGGGTCAAGGATTTGGCAGGGGCTGGCTGGATGATTCTTTTGTTCCATTTGGCATCAATAGAGTTACTCAGTGATATTCAGTGGGAAGATGGTCTTCAAAGTCCTAGACAGCTTCACTCATGTGTATCGTGTCTTGCAGGGGACAGCTAGATACTGGAGTGTTGATCAGAGCTCCTGAACATGGTATCTACAACATGACAATAAGGGTAATCAGACTTCTTCCATGGCAGGTCAGAGATCCCAAAAGAATGTTGCAAGAGGCCTAGGTGGAAATTTCAACACTTCTTAAGATCTAGCTTTGAAAAAAGTCCTGGAACATCACTCTTGACAAGTGATGACTTCTATTTGTCAAGTAAGTCATGAAGGTCAATCCAGATTCCAGGGGAAGAAGATTAGAATCAAGCTGCCTATGGGAGAGATGGCAAAGATTTTGTGGTCATCTCTAATCTACCACAACCTGTCAATTCTACTTCCAATTCATGTAACCCCTTTACATAGCTGGGCTGTTTTATGTCTGACAATGAACTCCCTCTGCAGTTTTAGGAAGAGACTTCACCAGATTTTCCTGGCTTCTTCTGAAGACAGTTACCTTTCCTCTTCTAATAGATTTCACTGGGCCACAGTCACTCTTTCTATAGACAAAATTAGATCCTGCTTTTCTAATTCCCTCTTTAGAGCACTTAATCTATGTGCATCTCCTTAATCCTTGTTTATGCCTTTCTTCAGGTCTTTAAGATTTTTTTTTTTTTCCTTTCATATCTGCCTAGTCTTTAAAGAAAGTGTTTCTGTCATTCAGCCTCATCGATCTATCTTCCTTTTTACATCTTCTTTCTTCTCATGATTTTGGAAACCTCTCCAATTCCTTTTTGATTTTCTGGATAAACTTGATTTTCAGAGACTGTGCTCATTTGAAGCAGACACCAAAGTAGAAAGTGCCTGTGAAGGCTAAAAGGGAGGAAACAGGAGTAGGCATGGGGAGCCATGCTGCAGGTCTTAACATCAGAGAGACAAAATGGGGAAGAAAAAAGAACTGAGTAGGAAGAGACTCAGATTGAAGTGCATACAACTCTAACAGAGTTTTAGTCAGGCGGATGGGGAATTTTCAAGCCAAAATTATCCCTTAGAAATATCCCTGCCTCACAGCTGTGGTCTTGCACTATCACTCCTCCTGAGATGATCTCAGTTGAGATTAGTTTGGGGGAAGTATGGTCTGGGTCATTCTGGGCCCACCCAAAACACAATGGTGGGCACAAAGTGGCAAGAGAAGGAGAGTTTGTAGATGGCACTAGGAAGCCAGGTGGTGAATCACTATCCTATAGAGAGTTGCTAAAGATGCTGGATAGTGACCTTGCTTGAATAGTCCAGTTGCGGTCCTATTTATATTGGAGGAGATGTATTCACTGATCTTTGAAAACAAAGAGTCAGGCTCCAATCCTGCCCTATAGCACATGTGTGTCCTTGGCCAGGTTTCTGTGTCTCCATTTTCTCACAAGTGAAATGATCTCATATGTTCACAAATGTATGCTTGTGGCAAGATTGCTTACAAGTTTTTCTTTGTCAGAGCTCTGATTCACTGAGACATATCTGAGGTGTAATTACTGTATATATGTGTATAGAAATTAACATGAAATTATTCTCCAACATAAATGGTTTAATATTAGCAGTTGATTGCAAAAGACATTGGGTTTGAATTGTTTAATGTAATGCTAATTTGCTTCAAGTGCAAACACTAATCAGGAACATTAGGTAATTATCATTTTAAGTGCAGGACCCCAATATATGAAATCTGCATTTCCATATGAGTATTAGTATCTTATGAGTACGTGGTTAGGGTAATGCTGGGGAAGGGTTCTAAGAAGCCTGTTCATTACAGATATTTGAAGTGACAAATCTTGGTGGTTAATGTTACCTTTTCTTGAATCCCCTAAAAAAGATATCAAATCTCAGAGAATAATTTTTGTGTTTCATGTAGTTGGATTAAATACATACATGCACTGTATAGAGGGTTAGCACACGAGGGTAAGTGAAATTGTATTGCCAGGGTTCCACTTCATACATACCAACCAACCTACTGCTATCAGTTCTGACTCTTAGAGACTCTATGTAGGGTTTCTGAGACTGTAAATCTCTACAGGAGCAGACAGCCCCGTTTTTCTCCTCTAAACTTGAACCACTGACCTTGCAGTTAGCAGCCCAAGACCTAACCCACAGCACCACCAGGATATGCACAGGTTTATTCCAAATATAACATGTTTAAATGTGTCTCTGTGATCAGAGGATGGCTGCAGAGAAGTTCTCTCAGTAATATACTTATCTTTGTCTCATTGTTGTTAAGTGCCATCTAGTTGCATGGTGGGTTTGAACTATCAACCTTGCAATTAGCAGTCCAGTGTTTATCCTACAGTGCCACACAAGGTCCTGTTTAAACAGTGACTTCTGAGGGAATCTGTCGGGCTACTTAAATTCAAGACAGGGAGGTCCGCTCAGAAGATTATGGAGACCTTTATTTTTGTGTGTGGGGGGAGGGGATTCCAAAGGGTTAATCTTGATAGATTCTCTTGAAGGGCACAGGAAAATTACTGGGGCTTATTATGAAGAACTTATAAGGAAACTGAAGTCTGCATTGGCAAGAAAAAGGCCAGGGTAATGAATGGCACGAAGAAATTTTTCCATGACAACAATGCACCTGCTCATTCAAGGGTAGCAAGAGCTGTCCTAGGAGACATTCACCGGGAAACCTTACCCCATCCACACTACAGCTCTGATCTTGCCCTTTCAGACTTCCTTTTGTTCACCAAATTCAAACAATATTTAAAAGGAACACCAAGACTACCATTTTGGTGTGACACTGTTTGAAAAGTGCAGAATTCTTTGGGGTAAGGGCTAGAGAGATGCAAACACAACCTAGATAGAGGAATATGTTGAGAAGCAATAGCTTCTCATTTGGGTATTTTTATTTAGTAAAGGTTCCTACGATTTTGCAGAAATACTTTGACTTAACTTCATACTGTGTGTGTGAAGAATTCCATGTGCTTGAATAAAAAGAGTCATTGCAATCATTTTGAAAATTGGACAATAGAGGCTTAGGGAGTTTATTTCAATTGCTAGAGTTCAATTGCATAACAGCTGCTGATAATTTGATTTCTGTGTGACCAGTACGAAGCTTCCTAAGACCTTTACATATATTGGTAACCGGAAGACATAGCTAAAATTACCTTGAGAGATGCTGTTATTTCACTATTTACAGATAATGGAAACTGGGGTACAGAAAGCTAATTGCTTAAGTTACTTGTTTTAAGGCACACAGACGTGGCAGAGCCAGGATTTGAACGACACAATCTGGATCCAGAGTCCATACTTTTATTAACCAGTGTTGATACAAGTAATTCATTCCAATTCCACTCACTATGTTCCTACTTTTATTATCAATGGTGCTGTTGCTGTTCTTAAGTGCCATCAATTGGTTCCGACTCATAGCGACCCTCTATAGGGTTTCTGAGGAGCAGCTGGTGAGTTTGAACCACTGACCTTGTGGTTCAAACTGACCTTATGGTTGAGTGCTTCTCCTTCAGTGCCACATCAGAAGTCCATTTTATCATCAATAGTGTGTTAAAAAGAAAGCTGGACTAGAACTCAGATCTCCTGATTTTCTTTTTAGGGCATTTTCCATATTCCAGGGTTACTTAAAATTAAAGTATTTTAAATGATTTTTAATGAACATGGCCAATGAAACGGTTCAGGTGTATACTCAGAGAACGCAGCTCTGGAAATCTTACTTTCTTGCCTGAAGCTCTCAAAGGCAGATTTTCTCAACCTCTATCTCTAGGTCTACCAGGAGAAATTGCAGCTACTGGCATTAATTAGCAGGTAGGAATCATTTGTAATTAATGAACCACATGTTCCAGTGAAAATGGCTGATTACGAAGTGGTTTCAAGATTCATGAAAAGCTTTTTCCCAGAAATAAGCCAAACTCTTCCAAGAATAACAGTTATATTTTATTTGCTAATGAACCTGGCATTGGCTCTGCTGGACCTCCCTGGGTCCTGTGTTCAGTCATTCCCAGTCATTTTTACTACCAGTCAGTCCTTAGATTCCTCAGCCTTCATCAGCACAGCATTCGTTACTGAGTTACTCGTTCTTTGACAAGATTCCCACTGTTGCTATTTAGCTTGGCTCTACAACAAGCTCCAATGTCCTCCAATTAGTAACCTACTGTAGACTGTTCTCCTGACTAAACCCTTGAACCCGTTAGCCCAACTGAAATTCACCATTGGCTAATGACCATCTAAAATGAGCAAATTCTTTGGTTATATATGTAGCAACTCACTTGCTTTCAACCTGATGGATTGTTTAACTGATGGTTTCTGTTCTCATTAGGAGTCACTAGCACAATAAAATGATATTTGCTGAACCCATCAATGTTGAGAACTGATCTTTCAATTGACTGGAGCTTGGAAAATGTCTTATCGGTGCCTCAGGCCTTTAAAATTGTCCCATATCTCTGAAAGGTAGTCCTTACCTCATCCTGACTCATGTCTTTCCATGGGGGAGTAGCCCACTGCTCTCCTACAGTGGACCTGGGGATGGGGCACAGTTATAGTTTCCAGGGGCCATTAGGCACATGGGCTCACCTGTATTCCTCAACACAAGATGAGCAGAGGGTGTCTGGGGGTGAATAACCAGCAGACCTATGCTCTTTCTTTTTAGGCACTGGTAAGGAAAATTGATGCTTCCGACAATCTCTACACCACGGAGTCCACCACAGGGAACCTTTTCAGCCTGACACAGGAAGGTGCACCTTTGTGCCGCATAATAGCCAAGGTGAGCTTCATGGTTAGGGGGCAAAATGGGGAGAATGAAAGGAAGCTTATTCAATGAAAACAGTTGGCTCAAGAGGTCTGTGATGGCTTCAGCATTAGTTTTCTGTGTGATCTTGGAAGAGTCACTTCTCTTTTGGGTCTTGGTGTCTCCATTTATAATAGGTAACTTCTTCTTGTTGAGTGCCATTGAGTCAGTTCCGATTCATAGTAACCCTTTATAGGATTTCCAAGGAGCAGCTGACCTTGTGGTTAGCAGTCTAGTGCTTATCCTATAAAACCACACCAGTAGTCTAATAGGTAACTTTGTTGTTACTAAATGCTTCGAGTTGGTCTGACACATAGCAACCCTGTATAGGATTCCCTATGAGTAGCTGGTGAGCTTGAACTGCTGACCTTGAGGTTCGAGTCGATTTTGCAGTCTAGCGCATTAACCCCCAGTGCCACACCAGGAGTCCAATAGGTGACTAGGCCCCTCTGATTTAACTTCCCACTTGAGACAAAAAGCTAATGTCCCCAGAGTCTCAATTAGTTTTACTGATAAATATCAACCCTTTTCCCCCATCTCCGAGGATCTCTGGTGGTGCTGTGGGTTAAGCATTTGGCTGCTAACCAAAAGTTTGACAGTTCCAACCCACCAAACCACTCCATAGGTGTACAATGAGGCTATGTCTGCTTCTGTAAAGATTTATAGTGTTGAAAACTCTAAGGAGCAATTCTATGCTGTCCTATAGGGTTTTGCTGTAAGTCAGAATCAACTGGATGCATATTTGTCTTCTTAGCAGCTTTGATGTTCCTGATGTATATTGGTTGATGTAAGAAATATAAAGAGCAGTTAGGCATGTAGCATTTTAGATGAGTAACTTCATGTTGCCCCTGCCACCATGGATGCAGGATATATAATGTCTTCTGTTTCATTTTCACTTGAGAATGGCCATCGTCACTGAGAATGGAACTGATGATGTCATTAGAAACAATGTTATGTCCTTGAATAGACTTCTGGTGCCAGTCATGTGAAGATGCTCCAGCTCGGTGGTTGCCAGGCAGGAATCACAGTTTCTAAGGGATTTTGTGGAAAACATAGATACATGTGCAAACTCAAGAGTTTCTGAGGTCCTGGGAATCTATATTTTAACAAGCTCCACACACAATTCTGAGGCAGGACACACCAATCTAAGCCTCTAAGGAAATCTAAAAGAATAGGGCAAATATTTATTAACTCTGGTGAGAGGGAAAGTGAATTGTATCTAATATCAGTAGCTAATATTTGAGTGCCACTGTGCATCCTGCTAAGTTATTTCTGTTAAATCACATCACAGTCCTATGAAGTGGTGGTGGTTGTGTGCCATCTAGTCATTTCCGACTCATAGTGACCCTCTAGACGGTTTCTGAGGCTGTACATCTTTAAAAAGAACAGGAAGCCTCATCTTTATCCTACAGAGCAACAGGTAGATTCGAACTGCTGATCTTGTGGTTAGAAGCCCAGATGATAATCCACTATGCTAACAGGGCTTCTCACAAAGTAAATTCTAGGAAATTCCCATTTATAGCTGAGAAAATAGTTTGAGACCCTTACCCTAGGTCATACTGCTTATAAGGAGTAGATTCAGAATTAGAACCCATATCTCTTTAGTTTAAATTTGGAAACCCTATACAAGGTTGCAATGGGTTGGAATTGACAATGGAAAATAACAGCAACAACAACAAAGTCTCAAATTGTAACTTCTGGTCCAACTCTCAGATCCAAGTGTGATTCAGAGGTTCTCAGCCTCAAAAACACATTAGAATCACTAGGGAGCTTTGCGCATTTTTCTGATTGTGATTTAATTGCTCTGGAGTGGCTCTTATGGTAGGTATTTCATCTTTCTGGGGGATTCTCACATGCTGCTTGGGATTAGGGCCCTTGTACTTATGACATGACTGAGGAGAAGGGGACAGAGAGGGTGGCATCCATTCTATGACTCAATCATTCAGCATGGGCAGGAGGATTTTTGCAGAAACTGCTCCAACGCCTGGGCCACAACTGGTTTAATATTAGTTTAATAATTAGTTCCGAATAGAAATCCGTTGGATTCCTTTGGGACTGAGATCCATTTTTCCTTTTAAAGTGAGTTCTGAACATAGGCTGGGTTGGACTCCAGGTGTGGATCTGAGGGGAGAAGGGCCAGGGACCTCTGGGGACTGGGGTGTTGTAGGTTTGGGAAAGAAAAGACCTTAGATATGTCCTTGAAAGGAAAATTTGCTGGCCATAGGAGCTGTTTATGTCTGTTCCAGGGCCTGGGTTCCATGTGCTTGATATAGACGTTCCTTCGGTCTGTTGCATGTGTTTCCATTCCAGGAAAGCAGAGGGGACGTACATTTGAGTCTAAACACAAGATGCTGTTTGGTCTCCTGAAGAGTTAATATTTCTGGGGACTCAAATTTACCTTTTAAATATTTATTGTTGTTAAGTGCTGTCGAATGGATTCTGACTCATAGCAACCCTTTATAGGGTTTCTGAGGACTGACCTTTCCATTAGCAGTCCAATGCTTATCCTTCAGCACCACATTTGGGCATTGTTGTTAAGTGTTGTCGAGTTGAGTCGGTTCCAACTCATATCAATCCTGTATAGGGTTTCCGAGGAGCGGCTGGTGGGCTTGAACCACCAACCTTGTGACTCAAACTGACCTTGCGGTCTAGTGCTTATCCTACAGCACCATACCAGGGCATTAAGTCCTCCTTTACGATCCAAGAAGTTTGACCTACAAGATAGTTAAAAGATTTCCCAAATCTATGATGTTACTCAACTTTGCTGGTATTTTTACAGGAAAAGCAAGGATGTAATTTTAGCTTTAATCTATTCCATTTTTAAATAATAGGTGAGTTATTTCCATATTTATGATCACACCCTCCATTTATCTCTACAAGACCCTTACCTGCTCTGCTATCTCCTTAGCTGCTCTACTAGCCCCTGTCTGTCCCCTCCGTGTCCTCCCAGAACTTCAGCTCTCTAGAACCATGAACAACAGCTGTTTACAGGTCAAAGGCTACCCGAGGGTATGCATGTGTCTCTCTGAATAATAATTTTCTTATTGGTTTCTTCCAGGGCTTCAGATGGGTTCATTTCACTTCAGTACCCTCATGAGAATGTGCATTTCCACCCTAGAAATCTTGGTGTCTTTCTGTGAGGCAGGCCCTGTGCTGTGTACCTTACACACAGTTTCTGTATCTTGTCTTCATGCAGCCCGCTGAGATGGGTATCAGTAATGCTGTTTACAGATAAGGAAACCATGACTTAGTGGGGTTAAGTAACTTGAGCAGCTGACACTTGAAACCAGATTTGTCTAGCTCTGTATGCAAGGCTCTTTCCATCTCACCAACGCAATTAGCTAAGAAACAATGTACTGCCCTTTCCAGGTGAAACCCCTGTTTCTATAAATCTGCCTCCCTCTTAATCAGTGATTCCTTTGTCTCTGATCAATTTGCCTGCTTTAGCTGTGAGTCTGGTGAAGGCCTTCACTGGTAATCAGTGTCTGGAGTAGAATAGAAATTGATGAAATCTGAGATTTCTAAAGCTGGGAATGATCGACTTTGATGATGATGATGGTAGTGATGACTGTTCTACTATTGTTATTGTTAGGTGCCTTTGAGTTGGTACCAAATCATAGTGACCCTATACACAACAGAACAAAACACTGCCCAATCCTATGCCACCTCACAGTCATGGCTCCTCCTGAGCCTATTGCTGCGGCCACTGTGCCAAACCATCTTGTTGGGGTTTTCCGGTTTTTTTCTGTCTCACAGCTAGCCTGTATTTTGTGTGTGTGTGTGTGTGTGTTTAATGTTTTATTGAAATTTTTGTGATAGTTTACATGGGAGAACATTAGCTTTACATTCATAATATCATGGTTACAGTCCTCTCCATGCATCATCAACCAACCAAAGTGTATACTCGACAAGCCTGCCCCCCAGTCGTCAGCACACAGCCCCTCTCCCTCTCTGGGTCTAGAGTCCCCAGCCACTCCATCCCTCCATGTCATCATCTCTGCCTCCATCTCTGATGTTCAGCTTTTCTGGGTAGGGGCCTGCTCTCCGCTCTTCTCCCTTGATGGCCCCAGGGACCTCCACTCCTAGACTGAAAAGTTAATCACTCCCCTCCTTTTGCTACAAAATGTCTATCTTTACATTTCCAACCCTCACAATCAGTCCTGATGACAATTATTCACTATTGTATCACAAGAGACCTATCCACATCTCCTTTCATCAGCCCCGCCCAGACAGATTAGATACTACTCAGTGGAGAGTCTACCTTCCTCCATGCCCTCTGGATCTAGGTTCCCTCTTAAAAGCTTGTAAGCCAGTCACTTCTTGCCTTTGGGTAGCCAATATCCAAGTTGCCCATCCCTGTCTACTCTGTGTATGGAGGGAGTGGGGATGATCCTCGCTGTAAAGGTTTGTTCCCTCTTTAGAGCTACTGCATCCATAGGTGTAGGTCAAGTTCATTAAATTGTATCAGATTACTCTTTTTTCCCTCTTATTTCTTCTTCTAGTTGAGCTCTGATCATCCAGTTATTGAAGCCAGGTCAAGTGGGTATTATGTGCAAGTGTGGGTGTTCTTGTGCATATGCCCTCTCTTCTTATCAGTTGGATGCTTCACTCTCCACTCTAGTCCTCTGTGGCTATGTCACTGATTCTGGGCACAATAGGCCCCAGGTCTTGCCACACTACTGGCCAACCAGGTCTCCACCTGGGTTCACAGTATTGAACATTGTAGGGCTTAGCTCACAGCTTCATTGCTGTTTTTCCCTCACTTCCCCTTATCGGTGACTAATGTGGTCACCAATCAGAGTGTGTATTCCTGTTGAGTCTTAGTCTTAGAAGGGGGTTTGCCCTGAGGGGACCTGACCACTTGCCTTGATGTCTCCTGGGTGAGCAACTTTCTTGTTCTTGTAGTAATCAGTCGGACTGCCTATATTGTTTTGCATTTTCCCTGTCAGTCTTTCTTTCAAGAAGTATCTTCTGTT